TATCAGGAAGGCCTTCCAGAAGCCATCCGCACAGTTTTCCACCTCCCTAGGGAAGAGGTCCCCTCCCCATGCAGGAAAGCTGGTTGGTGTGTTGTGTTGGGGTTTACACTGATCAATAAATATTTGAAACTTGAAAAACAAAATCAATGGAAAAATATATTCTCTCCCGGATGGCGTGGCTCAGTGGTTGAGCGTCGACCTGTGAACCAGGAGGTCACGGTTCCATTCCTGGTCAGGGCGCATGCCCGGGTTGCGGGTTCAATCCCCAGTAAGGGGTGTCCAGGGGGCCAGCCGATCCATGATTCTCTCTCATCATTGATGTTTCTATCTCCCTCTCCCTTTCTCTTTGAAATCATTAAAAATGTAAAATTAAATAAAATATCCTCAGGTAAAGATTAAGAAAAAATAGAAATAAATAAATAAATAAGGCGGTGGGGAGTGCTGCTTATGGGAGGAAAGGCTCATGGGATGCCTCTCCCCGCCTCCACCACCTCCGTGTCCTCAGCCCCATGAAGAATGAGGGAGAAACGCCCTGGCTGGTGTGGCTCAGGGGACAGAGCGTCAGCCTGTGGCCTGAAAAGTCTCAGGTTCGAGTCCAGTCAAGGGCACAAACCCGGGTTGCGGGCTCGATCCCCAGTGTGGGGCGTGCGGGAGGCGGCCAATCAATGATTCTCTCTCATCATTGACGTTTCTCTCTCCCCCTCTCCCTTCCTCTCTGAAATCAATAAAAAATATATTTAAAAAAACAAACAAAGAGAATGAGAGAAACAACGTCCCAGTCCAGGGAGGGTCTGGGACCGGGGGGCTAAGCCCAGTGTGTCCTCAGCCCTCGCCTACTGGGGCCCTGAGTCTGTGCTGTGCGGATCGCGGTCCCAGCGTGTGGCGTCTTTCCAGATGTGCTGTTCGCGTGTACGGGGGGCAGGTGTGTGTGTGTGTGTGTGTGTGTGTGTGTGTGTGCCGGTACATGGGTAACATGGGGCTGGGGGTGGAGGGGAGCCCTGGCCGACAGCCCCTGCCCAGTGCCCACGGGGCGAACACCCCCACCATGAAGGAGGCCCGTCTACCAAGCACACCGGGAGCGTGGACTTTGGAAGGGGTGTGTGTGCGCAATCACAGCATTACGACACGCAGCCTTCCCTCCACGCAGACCCGGCACGGACAAGCCAACAACCGCAGGGTCATGGCCAGCAGTAAAAACTAAAATTTGCCCTGACCGGTGTGGCTCAGTGGGTAGAGCGTCAGCCTGTGGACTGAAGGGTCCCGGGTTCGATTCCGGCCAAGGGCACGTACCTAGGTTGCAGACACATATCCAGTAGGGCAGTGGTTCTCAACCTTCTGGCCCTTTAAACACAGTTCCTCATGTTGTGACCCAACCATAAAATTATTTTCGTTGCGACTTCATCCCTGTCATGTTGCTGCTGTTATGAATCGTCATGTAAATATCTGATATGCAGGATGGCCTTAGGCGACCCCTGTGAAAGGGTCGTTCGACCGCCAAAGGGGTCGCGACCCACAGGTTGAGAACCGCTGCAGTAGGGGTGGTGCAGGAGGCAGCTGATCGAGGTTTCTCTCTCATCGATGTTTCTAACTCTCTATCCCTCTCCCTTTCTCTCTGTAAAAAATCAATAAAATATATTAAAAAATAAATTAAAATAAAATGGGACAGCCCTGGTCGTGTGGCTTAGCGGGCGGGGGCATTGTCCAGTGCAACAAAAGGTTGAGGGTTCGATTCCCGTTCAGGGCACAAACCCGGTCGGGGTGTGTACGGGAGGCAGTCGAATGATGTTTCTCTCTCCCATTGATGTCTCTCTCTCTCTGTCTCTCTCTCTCTCTCTCAGCCCCGTCGCTCTCTGGGGCTCACACCCAGCCTCCCTCACTGTCACCTGTCCCACCTGCACCTGAGCTGAGTCTGAGGACCACCCGTCCAGAAGCAACACAGCTTCAGAGCTTGGAGGAGTCACGGCAGGAGGGCGGCACCAAACTTGCGCCGTCCGACCACTAGAGGGCGCGCGAGCACCACCGTCCGGCAGCTCTCAGAAACGCAGGTCCTCTATTGAGGTCCTACTGTGTGCTGGGAGCAGGGAGTGTTACCGCCTCAGGTCCTCACAGGCACCTTCCACGCGGCAGACCGGGGGAGGGCGGCTCAGAGAGCGGCGCTGTGACTCAGTGTCCCCGTTTACAACACCGGGCAGCGCATCCCCGAGCTGCCAGGTCTCAGTGAGAAAACAATGGGTCACATGTTGGCAGAATTTCTGCTGCGAGATCAGCGTGTGTGCTCAGCAAATGGCATTTGGTTATTTTTAAAAAATATATATTTTATTGATTTTTTACAGAGCGGGAGGGAGAGGGATAGAGAGTTAGAAACAGCAATGAGAGAGAAACATCGATCAGCTGCCTCCTGCACACCCCCTACTGGGGATATGCCCGCCACCAAGGTACATGCCCTTGACCAGAATCGAACCTGGGACCCATCAGTCCGCAGGCCGACGCTCTATCCACTGAGCCAAACCGGCCAGGGCTGGTTGTTTATTTTATTTTATTTTATTGATTTCAGAGAGGAAGGGAGAGGGAGCGAGAGATGGAAACATCAATGATGAGAGAGAATCATGGATCGGCTGCCTCCCGCACGCCCCTCACTGGGGATGGAGCCTGCAACCCAGGCATGTGCCCTGACCGGGAATGGAACCCTGACCTCCTGGTCCATAGGTCCACGCTCAACCACCGAGCCACACAGGCTGGGCTGTTTCATCCCTTTATAAGGGCACCAATCCCATCATGGTGGTGGTGGGGGGCCGGGCTCCCCCCATGACCTCATTCAAACCCAATCGCCTCCCAAAGGCCCCACCTCCACATGCCATCACATTGGGGATTGGGGCATCGACAAATGAACTTGGGGGGACACAAACTTTCAGCCCAAGAACCCAATGCCAGCAGCTCCCGGCAGCTGGAAGAGGCTAGAGACAGTGGAGTGTTCCCCACTGTTCGTTTCTGGGAAGTCGTGACCCCACGGTTAGTTTGGGGGGAGGAGTTCCCGACTGAATGAAGCCTAAAGAAGGGGACAAGCAAAGACCCCCCTCTTTAGCATGTAGGAGTGAAAAGCATTAACCAACCAATGAGGTTACAGCCTCACTGATCAGCCCAAGACGCTTAAAGAGGCTGGTAAACGTTAGCTGTTCCCCATACACTTACGCCATTGAGCAGCGGTTCTCAACCTGTGGGTCGCGACCCCTTTGGCGGTCGAACGGCCCTTTCACAGGGGTCGCCTAAGACCATCCTGCATATCAGATAATTACATGACGATTCATCACAGTAGCGACATGACAGCTATGAAGTAGCAACGAAAATAATTTTATGGTTGGGGGTCCCCACATGAGGAACTGTATTTAAAGGGCTGGAAAGTTGAGAACCACTGCCATTGAGAAAGCCTGAAAGAGAACTGAAAAAACAACAACAACAAACCATCATCACTACCCGACCAGATCAGGCAGCTCCACACACCGAACCCGGGACGGGGGAGAGGCACATGTCCCAATCCCCAAACATGAATACAGACGCCGGGCCCTGGCCGGTTTGGCTCGGTGGGCAGAGCGTCTGTCTTCGAACTGAAGGGTCCCAGGTTCGATTCTGGCCAAGGGCACAAGCACAGGTTGTTGGCTTGATCCCCAGTAGGGGGCCTGCGGGAGGCAGCCAATCAATGATTCTCAATCATCATTGATGTTTCTCTCTCTCTCTTCCTCTCTGAAATCAATAAAAATATAGTTTTAAAAAAATAATAAAAATAAATAAATACAGACGCCGATGCCAGATGCCGGCATCGGGGTACGGGGCCCTGTCTGCCCTAAGGCTCTTTAAACTTCCTGTCAGTGGTCCGGGTCAGGTCCTATCTCCATCCTCATTTCAGATGGGGAAACTGAGGCACGGGGCGTGCGTACCTTGCCCGGGCTCCCAGAACTAGCACAGGAGGAGCCCCAAGGATCATGTCACAAAAGGGGAAACTGAGGCCTAGAGACGGTGAACGGGTACCTACCGGTTCACCCTTTCCCGGAGGCCTGGAGGAGCGGGCGCAGCTAGGACTCAGCAAGCCCTTCCAAGGTGCTCTCCCCCACCCCGCGGGGGTGGCTGTGACGTCACAAGCAAACCAGAAGGGCCTGTTACCACGGAGACTGGGAATCCATTTGGAAACGGGGGCGAGGGAACTGGGGGGTCGCACTCACCTCCGGGGCACTTAGGAGTCCGCACTTCTGGCCTCGGGAACCGGGAACCAGGCCCCGAGCGCCTCCGGGCGCAGACCCGGCCTCCCCGCTGCGCCACCTGCGAAAACTGCCCGGGTGGCTGAGGCTGGCGGGTCCCCGACTCCACGGACCCAGAATGCGCGCGGGGCCGACGCTCTGCGCACCTGCGCCCCTGACCTGTTCTTTACGGAGGCGGAGTGGCCTCTCCGCCAATCGGAGTCCTTCTTCCTGCCTGGCCCCGCCTCATTCGTCAGGCTTCCGGCGTCTCGCCGTCTCCAAGGCAACCCTCGCACTGAGGGCCCGCTCAAGCGTGGCCCAACGACTTCTGGGTGTTGTAGTCTCAAAAGGGCAGAGAAACGGGAGACGCACTTTTTATAAAAAAAGAGATTGTGACCTAAACGCCTACATCCAGTGATGACTCCGTGCATAGGAAGCGCTTGCAAATGCTGTCGCCAACTGTTATTTGCTGGGAAAGCCGAAAAGGAGGAGGAGGAGGAGGAGGAGGAGGGAGGTTGCCACAGAGGCTTCTGGGAATTGTAGTTCAGCGCGTTGAGGTAGGGCTGGTAGCTGGAGACCTCCCCACCCCAGATCCAGAAGTGACCACCGAGCGACAGGGCCTCTGTTGGGAGTGAGACATGGTCCCGACCCTGACGTCCCCGCTTTATTTATATTTTCCATGTTCTGCTCCGGCGGCGAAATCGTTTGCGGGCCTTGCGGTCGGTTGGGGAGCGGGAGGGAGGCCTCAAGGTCGAAGTTTCTGAACGGTCACTATGGTAACACCTTTCGCTTGCTCCCCGCCCCTTGCGTGGTGACGTCACACGCTGGCCCTGGGAGTGGGGGGCAGGTGTGGGAGGAGCCAGTGGTGGGTGGAGAGGGGCTCCAGTAAGCTGTCCTTGTGGGGATAGAACTGTAGGGCGGAGTGGATCACTTCATAAATCATATAAATGGACCTATGTGATGCTTCCAACAATAACGAGGTAAAAAAATAAAAAAACACATAAATGTCTAACCCTATGTTGTACACCTAAAATTAATCCCATATAATAAAAGCCTAATATGCTAAGTGTCCAGTCAACTGGTTGGCCGTTCAACCAATCAAAGTATAATATGCTAATGATATGCTAAGGCTGCTCAACTGCTCACTATGACGTGCACTGACCACCAGGGGGCAGGCGCTCCGACTGGTAGGTTAGTTTGCTACTGGGGTTCGGTCAATTGAGACTGAGCGAGACAGGCCGGACATGCCCTGGAGCCCTCTCACGGTCCCTCCCCAGCTGGTCAACCTTCGAGCCCCTCCCCGGCCCCTACCGTGCCCTGGTGGGGTCCCTTGGCCTGGCCTGAGCCCTTTTGCAATCCGGGACCCCTCGGGGGATGTTGGAGAGCCAGTTTTGGTCCCATCCTATAGGCCAGGCCAAGGGACCCCACTGGTGCATGAATTCGTGCACTGGGCCTCTAGCATAAAATAATATTGAATGTCAACTTTAATTGAAAAATAAGAAAGATAGGAAAATAATAACCATAATAAATGGTATACATAGGCACTCCTAGCATTATGCTTGGGTGGCTGCTTTCTATATCTGCTCAGAGACTTCCCTGGAATTCATTCGCTCATTTCTGTTGCTCATTATTAGTTTTGTCCCTAATTGGGTTGCAAGTCTGGACTGTACGGTTTCATGCCTGTGTCATTCATAACCATCACAAATGGAATGACGTGAAAATGGATCTGGAGCTGCCTTGCGGGCTTTATGCCTCAAACCTCTGGATGTTAAAACAGGGCATCGTAACATCTGGACCGGGCCTAAAGGAAATTAAATCCTAAAAAAGTCGCAAATATGACGAGAAAGCAGATATTAGGACTACTGGATGGCCGACTACTGGACTGAAAATTAAGAATATTGCCCTGACCAGTTTGGCTCAGTGGATAGAGCATCAGCCTTCGGACTGAAGGGTCCCAGGTTCAATTCCACTCAAGGGCATGTACCTTGGTTGCGGGCACATCCCCAGTAGAGGGCGTGCAGGATGCAGCCAATGATGATCTCTCATCGATGTTTCTAACTCTATCCCTCTCCCTTTCTCTCTGTAAAAAATCAATAAAAAAAATAAATATTTTTTTAAAAGAATATTATCGAGGCCCAGCCGATGTGGCTCAGTGGTTGAGCGTTGACCTATGGAACCAGGAGGTCACAGCTCGAGGTCAGAGCACATGCTCGGGCTTCAGACTCCACCCTCCCTGGTGTGGGGCGAGCAGGAGGCAGCCGATTAATGATTCTCTCTGATCATTGATGTTTCTATCTCTCCTTCCTCTCTGAAATGAATAAAAATGTATACTTTTTAAAAAGAATATTATTTAGAATGAACATCGCCATGTTATGTTATCTGCACCGATGGCGATACCTGTCTTCTGTGGGTGAATTGCCCCCGCCGCTTTCTCATAAATACCCATTTCCTTAGTCTCCTAATCCCAGAGCCCTGTTTGGGCTTCTGCCTGAATCAGTGCTTCCCAAATATTTGACCTCAAACAAACGGTTGTAGCCTCCCACTTTGAAAGGCTTTTTTGTTTGTTTGTTTTTAAGTTAACACTTGTCTGCAGGAAAGTAGGTCACTGGTAGCTTTAGGAGCACCCAGCCGCCCCTGCCTGCTCTAGGCTCCTGCAGTTATTCAGCCAACAGGTCATTATTAAATGCCCCCAAAGTGCCCATTGCCAGGGAGACAGCGGTGACAAACAAGCCTAGGACATTATGGGGTTGTGTTTTTTTTGTTTTGTTTTTATTGATTTCACAGAGGGAGAGAGAGAGAGAAACATCAATGATGAGAGAATCATGGATCAGCTGCCTCCTGCACACCCCACACTGGGGATCAAGCCCGCAACCCAGGCATGTGCCCCCTTTTTTAAAAAAATATATTTTTGATGTTTATTTTATATATTTCAATGCCATTTAACAAAGAAAAATCAACCAAAAAAATGAGTGGTCTAATGAGAGCCTGCTTTCTGGTTCACAGATGGCCATCTCTCTGTGTCTTCAGAGGTAGAAAGGGTACAGGAGCTCTCCAGCCCCCCCCCCCCCCTTTTTTCTGGTTGATCAGCATAGCCAGGTTCTCTCCTTATTGTCCTGTTACAACTGTATTTATAGCATTGGATCCTATAAGCATGCCTCTATAGTTACATCATGGTATGTTTTGGGTCCTCCTTTGACCTTCTACAGTTCCTTGTTTTATGTCTATAGTGTATCTGAACTTTGATAAAAATCTTATCTCTATCTAGCTCTGTCGATTTTTTTTTTTTTTTAAGGAGGGAACTTTAAGGTTTTTTTTTAAAGTATATATTTTATTGACTTTTTACAGAGAGGAAGGGAGAGAGAGAGAGAGTTAGAAACATCGATGAGAGAGAAACATCCATCAGCTGCTTCCTGCACATCTCCCACTGGGGATGTGCCCGCAACCCAGGCACATGCCCCTGACCGGAATCAAACCCGGGACCCTTCAGTCCGCAGGCCGACGCTCTATCCACCGAGCCAAACCGGTTAGGGGCACATACTCGATCTTAACATCAGGCTTATAGCCATCCTTCTCCCTGAAGTCCTGGGTGAAGCCCCGGTACTCCTCCCGCCGGCTATGCTTGTCATCGATGGCCATCTTGTCCTCAATGCAGTACACTGCTGACGGCAGGGACTTGTTGGGTGCCTTAACCTGGGCCACCTTCTGCACCGTCGTCTCCAGCAGTCCTTCGTTCCGACACAGGAGCAGCGCGGCTGCCAGCCCTCTATTCACGATGGGCTCCTCGTCCAGGATGGTGGTGGAGGAGGCAGAGAAGTCCTGATGCTGCTTCTCCTCCTCCAGGCTGACTGTGCTCCAGCCAATGTTCGCCTCCCGGTCAGACGCAGAGCTGCCGTTGGCCACGCGTTCCTTGTGCCTTTCCAAGTCCATGAGCTCCTCCTGCTCCTCCCGGTGGCCGGCCAGCCCGTAGGTGGGCATCTCCCCCAAGGTACGGCAGAACTCTGACGTGGCGTTGAACACGAGGGTCCCCTTCCGACCCTCCTCCTCCTCCTCCAAGCCCCGCTGGCGGGACTCCAGCTTCTTCACAAACTCCACCACCTTCTCGCCGCTGTCCCGCAGCTGGTGTAGCTGCTGCGGCTGCCGTAACCGGCGGCCCTTCTCCAGCTGCTTCTGCAGCTCCAGCTCCGCCTCATCCTCCTCCAGCCGCTCTGGGGACCCAGGTGGCAGCCCGTCCTCCTCCTCATCACTGAGGTCCATGTTTTCCACCCGAGTGTCATCTGACGGTGGGGGCTGAGACGCCGGCTCCTCCTCCTCCTCCTCCTCCTCCTCCTCCTCCTCCTCCTCCTCCTCCTCCTCCTCCTCCTCCTCCTCCTCCTTTCGGATCTTCTTCACCTTCCACTTGGTCTTTTTATTTTATTTTTTAAAATATATTTTATTGATTTTTTACAGAGAAGAAGGGAGAGAGATAGAGAGTTAGAAACATCGATCCGCTGCTTCCTGCACATCTTCTATTGGGGATGTGCCCGCAACCCAGGTACATGCCCTTGACCGGAATCGAACCCGGGACCCTTCAGTCCGCAGTCCGACGCTCTATCCACTGAGCTACACCGGTTTTGGCAGCTTGGTCTTTTTAAAGGCCACCCTCTCCTCTGGCGTCAGGTACTCGGAGGCGAGCCGCGGCCCGGCCATGCTCCGGGACTGAGCTTGCGGCCCCGGCTTGGTGCGCATCTCTTCCAGCTCCCGTTCCCCAAGGCCATGGGCAAGGCCGCCCTGCCCCAAACGGAAGGAGCGCGGCCGCTCGCCCTCCAGCTCCTCGTCGTACCTGGCCAGCACAGAGCGGGGTTTTTGCTGCGCCGGGTCACCCACACTCTCATCCTCTGCACAGACAGGGCGGGCAGTCGGGCTTTTTCCCCCCCGCAGCTCCACGTTTTCCTCCGCCCGCGCCGTCTCCAGCAGGCTCACGTTCACCAACCAGCACGTCTTCCTCCTCCCGCAGCACGCCTCTGTCCTTCAGGGGGAGGGTCACGGTCTGCCCTTCTCGGAAGGAGTCCCTGGCATGCTCCACGGTGAGGCCCTGCAGGTGCCGGGCAGTGGACAGGTCCCGCCGCCCCCGCCCGAACGCCTCCTCCACCAGCGCGCTGACACCAGCCTCGCGGTCCACCTCCTCCTGCAGCTCGGCCCTCTTCTCTGCCAAGTCCTGCGCCTCCTGCAGCTGCCGGCTCCTCTTCTGTGCCAAGTCCTCCTCCTGCAGCAGCTCGGCCCTCTTCTGTGCCAAGTCCTCCTCCTGCAGCAGCTCGGTCCTCTTCTGTGCCAAGCCCTCCTCCTCCTGCAGCTGCCGGCTCCTCTTCTGTGCCAAGTCCTCCTCCTGCAGCAGCTCGGCCCTCTTCTGTGCCAAGTCCTCCTCCTGCAGCAGCTCGGTCCTCTTCTGTGCCAAGCCCTCCTCCTCCTGCAGCTGCCGGCTCCTCTTCTGTGCCAAGTCCTCCTCCTCCTGCAGCTCGGCCCTCTTCTGTGCCAAGTCCACCTCCTGCAGCAGCTCGGTCCTCTTCTGTGCCAAGTCCTCCTCCTCCTGCAGCTCGGCCCTCTTCTGTGCCAAGTCCTCTTCCTGCAGCAGCTCGGTCCTCTTCTGTGCCAAGTCCTCCTCCTCCTGCAACTCGGTCCTCTTCTGTGCCAAGTCCTCCTCCTCCTGCAGCTCGGTCCTCTTCTGTGCCAAGTCCTCCTCCTGCAGCTCGGTCCTCTTCTGTGCCAAGTCCTCCTCCTGCAGCAGCTCGGTCCTCTTCTGTGCCAAGTCCTCCTCCTGCAGCTCGGTCCTCTTCTGTGCCAAGTCCTGCGCCTCCAGCAGCTCCGTCCTCTTCTGTGCCAAGTCCTCCTCCTCCAGCAGCTCGGTCCTCTTCTGTGCCAAGTCCTCCTCCTGCTGCAGCTCGGTCCTCTTCTGTGCCAAGTCCTGCGCCTCCTGCAGCAGCTCGGTCCTCTTCTGTGCCAAGTCCTCCTCCTGCAGCAGCTCGGCCCTCTTCTGTGCCAAGTCCTCCTCCTCCTGCAGCTCGGTCCTCTTCTGTGCCAAGTCCTCCTCCTGCAGCTCGGTCCTCTTCTGTGCCAAGTCCTCCTCCTCCTGCAGCTCGGCCCTCTTCTGTGCCAAGTCCTCCTCCTCCTGCAGCTCGGCCCTCTTCTGTGCCAAGTCCTCCTCCTCCTGCAGCTCGGTCCTCTTCTGTGCCAAGTCCTCCTCCTCCTGCAGCTCGGTCCTCTTCTGTGCCAAGTCCTCCTCCTGCAGCTCGGTCCTCTTCTGTGCCAAGTCCTCCTCCTCCTGCAGCTCGGTCCTCTTCTCTGCCAAGTCCTCCTCCTCCTGCAGCTCGGTCCTCTTCTGTGCCAAGTCCTCCTCCTGCAGCTCGGTCCTCTTCTGTGCCAAGTCCTCCTCCTCCTGCAGCTCGGTCCTCTTCTGTGCCAAGTCCTCCTCCTGCAGCTCGGTCCTCTTCTGTGCCAAGTCCTCCTCCTCCTGCAGCTCGGTCCTCTTCTGTGCCAAGTCCTCCTCCTCCTGCAGCTCGGCCCTCTTCTGTGCCAAGTCCTCCTCCTCCTGCAGCTCGGTCCTCTTCTGTGCCAAGTCCTCCTCCTGCAGCTCGGCCCTCTTCTGTGCCAAGTCCTCCTCCTGCAGCAGCTCGGTCCTCTTCTGTGCCAAGTCCTCCTCCTGCAACTCGGTCCTCTTCTGTGCCAAGTCCTCCTCCTCCTGCAGCTCGGTCCTCTTCTGTGCCAAGTCCTCCTCCTCCTGCAGCTCGGTCCTCTTCTGTGCCAAGTCCTCCTCCTCCTGCAGCTCGGCCCTCTTCTGTGCCAAGTCCTCCTCCTGCAGCAGCTCGGTCCTCTTCTGTGCCAAGTCCTCCTCCTCCTGCAGCAGCTCGGTCCTCTTCTGTGCCAAGTCCTCCTCCTCCTGTAGCTCGGTCCTCTTCTGTGACAAGTCCTCCTCCTGCAGCAGCTCGGTCCTCTTCTGTGCCAAGTCCTCCTCCTCCAGCAGCTCGGTCCTCTTCTGTGCCAAGTACTCCTCCTGCAGCTCGGTCCTCTTCTGTGCCAAGTCCTCCTCCTGCAGCTTGGTCCTCTTCTGTGCCAAGTCCTCCTCCTGCAGCTCGGTCCTCTTCTGTGCCAAGTCCTCCTCCTCCAGCAGCTCGGTCCTCTTCTGTGCCAAGTCCTCCTCCTCCTGCAACTCAGTCCTCTTCTGTGCCAAGTCCTCCTCCTCCTGCAGCTCGGCCCTCTTCTGTGCCAAGTCCTCCTCCTCCTGCAGCTCGGTCCTCTTCTGTGCCAAGTCCTCCTCCTGCAGCTCGGTCCTCTTCTGTGCCAAGTCCTCCTCCTCCTGCAGCTGGGTCCTCTTCTCTGCCAAGTCCTGCGCCTCCTGCAGCTCGGTCCTCTTCTGTGCCAAGTCCTCCTCCTCCTGCAGCTCTGTCCTCTTCTGTGCCAAGTCCTCCTCCTCCTGCAGCTCGGTCCTCTTCTGTGCCAAGTCCTCCTCCTCCAGCAGCTCGGTCCTCTTCTGTGCCAAGTCCTCCTCCTCCTGCAGCTCGGCCCTCTTCTGTGCCAAGTCCTCCTCCTCCTGCAGCTCGGTCCTCTTCTGTGCCAAGTCCTCCTCCTGCAGCTCGGCCCTCTTCTGTGCCAAGTCCTCCTCCTCCTGCAGCTCGGTCCTCTTCTGTGCCAAGTCCTCCTCCTCCTGCAGCTCGGTCCTCTTCTGTGCCAAGTCCTCCTCCTGCAGCAGCTCGGTCCTCTTCTGTGCCAAGTCCTCCTCCTCCTGCAGCTCGGTCCTCTTCTTTGCCAAGTCCTCCTCCTCCTGCAGCTCGGCCCTCTTCTGTGCCAAGTCCTCCTCCTCCAGCAGCTCGGTCCTCTTCTGTGCCAAGTCCTCCTCCTGCAGCTCGGCCCTCTTCTGTGCCAAGTCCTCCTCCTGCAGCTCGGTCCTCTTCTGTGCCAAGTCCTGCGCCTCCTGCAGCAGCTCGGTCCTCTTCTGTGCCAAGTTCTCCTCCTGCAGCAGCTCGGTCCTCTTCTGTGCCAAGTCCTCCTCCTCCTGCAGCAGCTCAGTCCTCTTCTGTGCCAAGTCCTCCTCCTGCAGCAGCTCGGTCCTCTTCTGTGCCAAGTCCTCCTCCTCCTGCAGCAGCTCGGTCCTCTTCTGTGCCAAGTCCTCCTCCTCCTGCAGCTCGGTCCTCTTCTGTGCCAAGTCCTCCTCCTCCTGCAGCTCGGTCCTCTTCTGTGCCAAGTCCTCCTCCTCCTGCAGCTCGGTCCTCTTCTGTGCCAAGTCCTCCTCCTCCTGCAGCTCGGTCCTCTTCTGTGCCTAGTCCTCCTCCTCCTGCAGCTCGGTCCTCTTCTGTGCCAAGCCCTCCTCCTCCTGCAACTCGGCCCTCTTCTGTGCCAAGTCCTCCTCCTCCTGCAGCTCGGTCCTCTTCTGTGCCAAGTCCTCCTCCTGCAGCAGCCGGCTCCTCTTCTGTGCCAAGTCCACCTCCTCCTGCAACTCGGCCCTCTCCTGTGCCAAGTCCTCCTCCTCCTGCAACTCGGCCCTCTTCTGTGCCAAGTCCACCTCCTGCAGCTCGGTCCTCTTCTGTGCCAAGTCCTCCTCCTCCTGCAGCTTGGCCCTCTTCTGTGCCAAGTCCTCCTCCTCCTGCAGCTTGGCCCTCTTCTGTGCCAAGTCCTCCTCCTCCAGCAGCTCGGTCCTCTTCTGTGCCAAGTCCACCTCCTCCTGCAACTCGGCCCTCTTCTGTGCCAAGTCCTCCTCCTCCTGCAACTCGGCCCTCTTCTGTGCCAAGTCCTCCTCCTGCAGCAGCTCGGTCCTCTTCTGTGCCAAGTCCTGCGCCTCCTGCAGCAGCTCGGTCCTCTTCTGTGCCAAGTCCTCATCCTCCTGCAGCTTGGCCCTCTTCTGTGCCAAGTCCTCCTCCTCCTGCAGCTTGGCCCTCTTCTGTGCCAAGTCCTCCTCCTGCAGCAGCTCGGTCCTCTTCTGTGCCAAGTCCACCTCCTCCTGCAACTCGGCCCTCTTCTGTGCCAAGTCCTCCTCCTCCTGCAGCTCGGTCCTCTTCTGTGCCAAGTCCTCCTCCTCCAGCAGCTCGGTCCTCTTCTGTGCCAAGTCCTCCTCCTGCAGCAGCTCGGTCCTCTTCTGTGCCAAGTCCACCTCCTGCAGCAGCTCGGTCCTCTTCTGTGCCAAGTCCTCCTCCTCCTGCAGCTCGGTCCTCTTCTGTGCCAAGTCCTCCTCCTGCAGCTCGGTCCTCTTCTGTGCCAAGTCCTCCTCCTCCTGCAGCTCGGTCCTCTTCTGTGCCAAGTCCTCCTCCTGCAGCAGCTCGGTCCTCTTCTGTGCCAAGTCCTCCTCCTGCAGCTCGGTCCTCTTCTGTGCCAAGTCCTCCTCCTCCTGCAGCTCGGTCCTCTTCTGTGCCAAGTCCTCCTCCTCCTGCAGCTTGGCCCTCTTCTGTGCCAAGTCCTCCTGCAGCAGCTCGGTCCTCTTCTGTGCCAAGTCCTCCTCCTCCTGCAGCTCGGTCCTCTTCTGTGCCAAGTCCTCCTCCTGCAGCAGCTCGGTCCTCTTCTGTGCCAAGTCTACCTCCTCCAGCAGCTCGGTCCTCTTCTGTGCCAAGTCCTCCTCCTCCTGCAGCAGCTCGGTTCTCTTCTGTGCCAAGTCCTCCTCCTCCTGCAGCAGCTCGGTCCTCTTCTGTGCCAAGTCCTCCTCCTCCTGCAGCAGCTCGGTCCTCTTCTGTGCCAAGTCCTCCTCCTGCAGCTCGGCGTTCTTCTGTGCCAAGTCCTCCTCCTCCTGCAGCTCGGTCCTCTTCTGTGCCAAGTCCTCCTCCTCCTGCAGCTCGGTCCTCTTCTGTGCCAAGTCCACCTCCTCCAGCAGCTCGGTCCTCTTCTGTGCCAAGTCCTCCTCCTGCAGCAGCTCGGTCCTCTTCTGTGCCAAGTCCTCCTCCTGCAGCAGCTCGGCCCTCTTCTGTGCCAAGTCTCCTCCTCCTGCAACTCGGTCCTCTTCTGTGCCAAGTCCACCTCCTCCAGCAGCTCGGTCCTCTTCTGTGCCAAGTCCTCCTCCTCCTGCAGCTCGGTCCTCTTCTGTGCCAAGTCCTCCTCCTCCTGCAGCAGCTCGGTCCTCTTCTGTGCCAAGTCCACCTCCTCCAGCAGCTCGGTCCTCTTCTGTGCCAAGTCCACCTCCTCCAGCAGCTCGGTCCTCTTCTGTGCCAAGTCCTCCTCCTGCAGCAGCTCGGTCCTCTTCTGTGCCAAGTCCTCCTCCTGCAGCAGCTCGGCCCTCTTCTGTGC